CTCAGTTTCATGCTCATTGCTTCAGTGATGCTATCTAACCAACTCATCTTCTGCCATCCTCTTCTCCTTTTGCCTTCAATCTTTCCCAGCATCAGGGTCTTTTCCAATAAAGCATACTGAGTGTTAATGGAGAAACAGCAGCCATAATATAAAATTGCCTAAGCTTCAGCTTGCTTATTACTAAGCAATTTTCATGACATAAATGTGCATAGGAGCATAGACCCATGGACATCAAGAGTGCATCCAGCTGTTTATGGATTGTGGCCAAGGTATTTTTATTATGCTGTTTATTAAAGGATATAAAATCCTCTATAATCTTTATGATGCTCGTCCTCTCAAAAACCCATGCAGTGAAATGCATAAATTGTCATATTAAATAGGGAGTGAAAAAGAAAGCATTAAAATGGATTTTCTTTCTGATGAATACTTGTTACATCATAAATTATGATTGTACATTATAAATAATAATGTTATTATTACTGAAGTTTGAATGCAAATTTAAACAATTAATTCAGCAATTACTTGAAAGGGAGGGGATTAATCTGTTGAGACATACAGTATGTCTTTTGAAATGTAATTCCCTTCTGTTCAATAAAATTTACTCCCAGAAAATGTGGGCTTTGGATTGCAGCCTTAATATTCTCAGGGGCTGGCAACTCCAGAAGGAAGAATTCATTGCTATTTTACTTAACTGTATTATGTAAACAATAAGTGGGTTAAACAAGGTTGCACAAGAAACCTGTGACAATGACAGAAATTTACGCCCATTTCTTCCATGTCTTGGCCTTACGTTAGCCAAAAACAGTAGTATTTCAGACCCCATCATTCAATTATTTTAAAATGGATTTATTTTAAAATGGATTTAAAATGGATTTGTAAAGACAGAAACATACATACTTGTAAGAAGGTTGCTGCGGAATACTGGGAAAGGAGAAAATCTTCATCTTTTAGTTTTATCCAAGGCATATTCTACATAAAATTAAACTTTTGCCTCATGGTGTCAAAAATGTTGGAAAAATATGGGGTTTCGACCTAGCCTGTCTCACACGAACACAAAAGAAGGGGCCACTCCGTTGTGGCCTAGCTTTGCTGCTTTGTGTGGGAGGGGCTTGGCTCCCGCCTTTTTTTCCTGTTTCCCCCCCTCCCTCTTTTTTTTTTTCTCCCCTGGTGCCCCTGCGGGAGGTATGGGGGAAGCCTCTCTCCTCCTGGTGGCTCTCTTACTTCCCTTCAGGTTGCTGGCATTCAGGAGCATGTAGGTTTCATTCGAACTTATTACTCACCCGCACAGGACCGTTTCTACTATGAAATTGTTTTGTATGAAGATCTGAAAATAAACCATGAGCTATCTTTTATTTCTCTTTTCCTAATGTGTGGAGGGTGTTTATTTTGATGAACTTAGTTAAGCCTTTGTGCAAATTTGAACGCTTCTACTCTGCTAAACCACTAAAACTAGCTGAACTCTGCATGGGATCTTCTGTTACTAACATTTCAGAACCCCAACAAAAAATACTCCATGAATAACCGAGTTCCCAAAAGCTAAGTTAATAGGTACCATTGGTATGAACTAAAATCCTACAACAGAAATTCTTTAGAAATACTTAGCTCACGCTTTAAAAAGAATCTGTCTTGCTCTGAGATTACACAATTATTCTTTTTATTAAGAAATTGTGCTATTGTGCCTCTTTTGGCCAGCTTTCCATCATCTGATTACAATTTAAAGCTCCAGCCCTAGAGCAGTGTTTCTCAACCTTGGCAATCTTAAGAAGTCTAGACTTCAATTCCCAGAATTCCCATGCTGGCTGGGGAATTCTGGGAGTTGAAGTCTAGA